CTCATTTGTAAATAACTCATGTCTTTCTTTTTCCAATTTACATGCTATGTTTTGGAGTCTAAAATCAGAAACTCTATGACATGTCCTTTGATGTGATTTGCAATTTGTCTTCCCATATGAGGACTCACATTTCCTCTGTGACAAAGCACCCTGTGAATATGACATGCAACTCAGGCTAAAGGATCTTGTCTTGTAGTTTGATGTATGCCAATCACTTGTGGTGTTTTTTGGTTTTCTTGTTTGATTTGGTTTGCTTTGACTTTGTTGGTTTTTTTTCCTTTTCGGTAAAATCTTTCATGTTTGTTATCTCAGTTTTCAGATTTTAAAATATGCCAATCATTCTTATGAGGACTGTCACCTAACCTGGGCAAAGAGGCATCCAGTATTAGGGTTAAAGGCTGCCATTTATATTTATGTGGCATCTCATTCTAGATACGAATGGACTGAAGCTGGAATCAGCCAAGTATCTCAGTTGGGTGCATCTGTAGAACTGACAATAGCTGAACCTGAAGTTGACAGACCAAGTACTATTTTTACTTCAGGAAACTTTGAAGTCACTTGCCTGTGACTTCATTTTCTGCTTCAAAGTTGAGAGATATCCAGACTTCTATAAATGAAAAGGAGACTGAGGCTCTCCCAGGGTTACCTGTCTGTGACAAAACCATTTCCTAATACTGACTGTGGTTTTAATCCTTCTGCTCAGAGCCAATGATTTGGATGTGCTCTGATAATTAATCTATGTAGTGCTCCTGCTCCTGGTATAAGCCTTCAGGAAAATGAGATTTAAGACCTTTTTCACTTTTGGTCCAAGTTTTGGTATGGGTAATATCTGATTACTCAAGTCCAGTTATTCTGCATATATTTATGCCACATTTCTGTGGCATAAATTATATTACATTACATTTCTGTAATGCAGACACTAATAATTACTTCCCAGATTTTTCACATAAACCTCAGATTTGAAGATTTGAACTCATTGGAGTTTCTAGATCTACTGGCAAGGGATGATTTCCATTTGATGTATTTGAATGTGAAAAGTGTTTTGGTAATAGACTATGAAAGATATGGCCAATGTTTCTAGGCATCACCAAGAATAAAATTATTACCTATGAAAATAAAAAAAAGATTAATTAAGAAATATTAATTTTAAAAAAAGGCAAGAAATAGAAAGACCTCAGGACCATCAAGAAGTAAGACATCGAGTATAACTTTCAAAGATGCCAGTATTATTGATTTGTATTCTTTTCTAATAATAATTCATGTTACCCTGCTGCTGTGGGATATCATTGCTAAATCATTCTTTTTTGTTTATTCACAGACCCCTCAGCCAGTTGAAAACTACATCAGTGAAGGAGAGTTTGAAGACGATCTGAATTCTACCCCAAGCACGACCGAGCTGGAGGTACGTGGATCCAGCCAGGAAACAGATGAAGATTATTTTGAAACGGTGTCACATCAGAGTGGATCTTTGTCAGATGTAAAAACTGAGCCTTATGAGAGTGCATCAGACACAGAATCCCTTTCCAGTGACATAACTGGGAATGCTTGCTCAGATTCAAACTGTGTGTTTACTGAAAAAAAATCCCTGTGCTGTAATCTTCCCAAAGAAAAGGCAGAAACCTTCCATGGACTGCAGTGCTCCGGGCAAGCAGAGTTCACCCAGCACCCACAGCTAGAATTGACCTCCAAAATAAAAGAAGCACCAAGCAAAACTGAATTTTGCATACAGTTTGCAGAGTTAGAGGGTGAAGAATTTGGTGATGAAGAACTAAGGTTATCTAGTGATATTTCCACGACAGAGAGCCAAGTCTATGAAGAGGGCATTTTATCACAGACAAAGAGGGAGTCTGTGACAGCACTGCAGGGTAAGGCAGAGTTAGAAAGCAGCGAAGTGCAGTCCTGTACCGAGTCAGTGCTTACAGAAAACAATGCTGCAAGACTGAAGGAACAGCCTGCGGTATTTCGCATTGCTTGTTGCAAAGCAAACTCAGAAAGTTGTTTGATTTTTCCTGAGGTACAGCAGTTTTCCTTCCGGTCAGATGCAGCACCAAGCTCTAGTTTGCCTAATCTTCATTTTGAAACAAATGGACCCAACTGTAAAAGTGACACTGAGACATCTGACTGTAAGTGGGAATTAGAGTCTATGTCCAGTATAAAATGCAGCAGGAGGAATTCAGCCGACAGTGAGGACACTACAGGTAAAAGGACAAAACATGGAAGTACAGAGACCATGTTGACATCAGATTCACTCTTCTACCAGAGTTGCTTCAACCCAAAATCTCGGCTACCACACACAAGGTCAGAGATTACAGAAAGCAAAACGTGGCACAGTGTACCTGAAAATATCAGTGCTCAAAGTGAGACAGAATGTGTGGTGAGCTGTATTCACCCAACAGACAAATTTAGATGGTCATGTTCCAGAATACATCTTCAAGAGCTGGATTTTGAATACACCTGGAAAAACTTAGGAAGGGTAACTGCTGTAAACTCTGAAAAGGATATAGAAAGAGAGAGCCAATTTGATATAAAAAGGTCTCTTCTTGATACTGAAACAGACTCGAAGGAATGTCAGGTTTCTCAACCAGCAGCCTCTCCTCAGTGCATTGGTTATTATTTGCACTCTAAATCAGAGACATGTGGCCTTAGCCCAGAGCCAGCTGGTACTTGTGCTGACAGCTTAACATGGAGTGATGCTTGTGAGAGCAATCCAAACCAAAAGGAGACATCCTCTTTCCTCGATTGTGATCCAGTGATCATAAACAGTGAGGAGCTTACGCAAAACAATGAGTACAAAGCTGAAAGAGATCTGGAAGCAAGCAGATTCCCATGTAAGACTGATGTTGGATTGGACACTGGTGACACTGAAAACCCTGCAGTTTCTCATGCAGGTGTTCCTGCTGTTGTGGAAAGCAGAGATTGTGATTGTTCTGTAAACTGTGTTTCCAACAGTGGAATACAGCACAAAGGTTTGAAGGAGAATGGCCTTGAATCTGAACTGTCAGATACTGAGATTGTGGCAGGAAAAAGATGGGCAGATGATTCTTCTAATCTTGGCTTTGGTTGGAAAGTCCTGGAAACTGCAACGCAAGCAGATGGCAGTGACAGAGGGGCAGAGCATGGAGAGTCAGTGCAGCAAAATACAAGTTGCAAAACTGGTGCCTTAAGGAACCACTCAGAGCTAGGAACAAATGAACATCCTACTCATAAAGGAGAGGATGAAGAGAGTGTCTTTGCTCTTGAAAGGACTTCCAGATCAGATTATATAAGGCAGGGGAGGGATTTAAAGACTATTCCAGAATTAAAGCCTGCCCTAATTATAGTCTCTGTAGAGGAGAGAGGATTACAGTCCAAAACACTGAATGATAACCTTCCTACTGAAGTGGTAGCTGAAACAGGGGGAGATGTAGTGAGCAAGGATTTGATGTCTCCTCATACTGTCAGTAGAGCTCATGACGAGCCAGAGAGAGTTCTGAGTGAAAGCTGTAACTGTGAAGAACAAATTCTGGCCACCCATCCCATTCCTGGCAGTGCAGAGGTACTCTCTGGTAGGGATACAGCTGAAGTAAAAACAGAAATTTCAGAAGAGAAAACAGAAGCAGTTTCATCTTTTGGGTTCACCTTTAGTAACTCTGCAGCAGCAAGTGCAAAAGTGGAATTCGGGAATGTTGCTGTACCGCTAGACAGTGATAGAATTATTGCAGAGAGTCAGACAGATCCATGTGAAAAATCACTTCTAAAATCCCCCAGTGGAAGCAGTGTGAAGGTCTCTGAGGAAGAGCCCTGCAGAACAGGGACACTGGTGTATGGTGCAGTGACACTGGAGACCAGCAGCAGTGGAAGAAGTTTGTGTCAGGGAGATGGTTCTGGTGTCAGCCTTCAAGGGCCCAGCATTGTCTCTGGACAAGCAGTAGGCAGGCAAGGGAAGGAAAGCTGTAATGGCTCAAAGGAAGAAGCAGGGATTTGTGAAGAGCCCTCTCCTAGGGAAGGAAAGGAGGGCTCTCCTGCAGAAGACACCTCTAGCCCCAGCAAAGACAGTGCACTCAGTCTGGATGTGTCTGATGTCTTTGATGAGTCTCTGAGCAGGGAGACCCACAGCACTTTCATGCTGGGCCTGGATAATGTAAGCACCTGCAGCACTAACAGCGAGGAGCTGGATGAGAACTCATCCCACACCCTGGGAAGTAACAGCAGTCTTCATAAAGCTGTACAAAAGCCAGCAAAGAATGAGAATAGCGGGAAAGCTTCCAGGTTTTTAGTATTCTCAAAAATGACATCTTCCAGAAAAACTAAGCCTGCCTCATTGGAAAATCAAGGAAGCAGCAGTATCTTTGGCAGCAAGGCAAAGATAGAAGAACTGGATATTGCAAAAGATGATGAAGACACTGCAAGTTTACTGTCTTTCAAAAGTTCTTCATCTGGTTTAGTCTTCCACAGGAAGGAAAGTTACACCTCTGAGTACTCCGATGATGATGATTTATTTTATGAGAGACCTGCAGGATTATTCAACAGGCTGAGCCTGAGGAAGGCCTCTGGCTCTGGTCGGATACTGATGGAAGATGGAGATAGACAAGTTTCAGGTTCATCTGAAAACAATGACAGTGAACCTGTGGAGCATACATGGATTAGAAAATCATTCCCTGAAAATGAACACAAAAGAAACAAAACCCCCGAGGGTAAGAAGTTCAGGACAAGGTTGGCCTTGGCACACAAATCCCTCTCAAGCTTATTCGAGTCCAAATGCCCAGAAAAGGAAAACACTGAGCAAAGCTCAAAAGCATCAGTGAAAAATGAAAAGGAGAAAGCCAAACTTCGCCAGAGCGCCTGGAAAGCTTTTCTGAAAAGCAAGGAGGCAGATGGACTAAAAAGGCCTGTCTTAATAGGTTTATCATCCACACAGGAGAGTCTTAATGCAACCAGTGGCCACATGTTAACACCAGTAGAGCGACAGCATAGTTCCAATGGGCACACCTTCTTAAAAACAGAAACAGATAATGGCTCCTCAACAGAATCCAGCTACTTTGACAGCTCTGTGGAGCCTGTTCATGCCTCTTCACCTACACGTATGTGGAGAAGACGAATACAGTCCCATGACTTGGGTATCAGATACTCACAGAGTTCAGACTGTGATGAACAGCAGGAGGTTCTGAGCAACAGTTTAAATACTTCTCTAGAGGAATACTGGATGAAATCTCCATATAGCCCCACTGACTTGCAGCTGGCATTTAGTCAGCCAAGTCCATCATGTCCCCAGCTCTCAAATTCTGATGGTAAAGACATGCCTTGTAGGCCCATGAGTCCCAAACCCCAGAGTCCACGATCCACTTCTCAACACAGGAACTTCCGTTATCCTGGGCGAGTATCCGCCACTTCCATGATCTCTCTTGGGAACAGCTCTGGAGTGGAAAGCAACCTGGAGGCTCCTGAGAGACCAAAGACACTGAAACCCAGAGGAAGTCTCTTACACTCGTTGGATGACTTCCAGAGGGACGACAGTGGCATAAGCAGTCAGTCCCAGATCAGCTTAAATACAGCTTCTTCCATTAGTGACATGCTCCGGGATGAGGTGAGTTTCTGTCAGGGAATGATCAGGGGATGGTTTGGTTTGCAGTCTTTGCTATGGTTTAGGAATTCCAGTGAAACTCTTCAATGGCTCATTGATTAGATGAGTGCATAAATATTCCTCTTGGTCTAGGATAGATAGCACTAGTCATTCTTTCTGTTTCTGTTCAAGAATATATGAATGGATGTGCTCTTAGAGGGAGGATTTGCTACAAAACCCCAAAGGAATAGAGCAATCACAGTTCCATTAAAGTTTGTACAGACATCATCCTGCATTCATCTCCAGTTTTAAACTGAGTTTTACTCCTCCTAAGGCAGAATTAAGACTTGTAATTGGTGTATAGTAAATAAGTTTCTCATTGTGAAAGGCAATAAAGAAATCAATACCTATGTCTAGCAGTCACCTTTTAAGAAGTAAAATCACTTTCTTTAGACAATGACTAGCTAAAGACACATGATCTTTGGAAGTACCATGTATTTTTTGCAGTCACCATGAGTATTCTTTGGTAGCTACTAGAAGTCCTTTTCTGCCTTTTCTACAACAGACAGAAACCACCCCCCCACTCCACCCTAGGCAGAAGACTCAGGGACTCCTTTTCATGTTGTATTTTGTTCTAATCCAGGTAACATTAAATTCTTGGCATAGGCTGAATCTCACGGAACAGATTGGATCTTCAGTAGGGATTTTGTGATTGGCTGAGACCTCTAAAAGCAGAGACTTCCTCCATCAGTAGGCTTTTAATCCCAGAGAGGATTTCCCAAGCTGTAAGTGGCTGGGAGCTGAGAAATCTTTCAGTGGCTCAGCACAACCCCCAGAGTGACTGAGACTGAGCTGTAGCTGAGGCCCCAGAACATGCCTTGACCATGCTACTTTTCCAGTATTATTGCTGATGAGTTTTGACATTAAGAAATAGGCGAATAAAATTTTTGAGCAGATTGTCAAAAGTGAGAATGCATGAACTTTTGCATACCACAAGCAGAAAATTATCAGAGGGTTCATGAATCTGGAGCTGCTTGATCACTTCACAACAGCTGAGAGCTGCTTGTGTTCAACTCATATGAGCCTCCCACAGCTTTTGCTGCTGTTGCCTTTTGCCTCTTACATCTCAGCTTATATTAAACCTTTAAGATACTCTCCAAGATGGTCTTATCCTACCCTTTCTCCAATTTTTTTTTACAGAAACTCCCAATTTTTTGTACATAAACAAAGATGGGCAGAACCATGGCTTTATCTAGCCAAATGTTGAAAACCTCCATTGCTGAAGGTTTCTCACTGCCTCTCTGGGAAACATATTCCTTGAGAAATTTTTTTTTTCCTAATACCCAACAAGAACTTTCCAAGCTGCAGTTTCTGGCCACTGTCTTGTGGCATTATCTGGCACTACTGAGAATAGTCTGGATCCATCATCTATGTAAATACAAAATTGTTGGTGACTGCTCTTATACTGCCTTTTGTGCCCCCCTAACAGCTTGGAAAATCCCAGCTCTCTCAACCTCTCCTCACATATTCCCAAATGAAAATGTTTTGGTTGATTGGCTTGGGGTTTTTCTCTAAAGCTGTCTGGAATCCAAAGAAGTGTTTGGGTAGAAGTTTGAGAAGTGAGGGCTGTAGTATCAGAATTCCAGGGGGGAAAAGGGGAAAAGAATTAGCTTTATTCCCTTCTGTGCTTAGCTTTACTTGAAAATCTTTTGTTTCATGGGCACCAGCTTAGCCTACAAACTTAATACTGGACACTGCATTCCAAACAAGAGAGTGCAGCCTAGGAAAAAGCAAGAGACTTGGGCTGTACACACTGTCAACAGATGAAGCCTCTCAGAGGATGAATAAAATCATTGACCTGTAAATTAGAGCTCAAAAGAACATCTAGAAAAGAGTGTGGAGATGAGGCATGTGTAAAGCCTTGAAAAGGCAAGCCCACATGCTATAATGTAACCACTAGGAGAAAATAAATAATTACTTAAATTGATTGCTAGATTAAATTATTCAAAGAAAACCATAAAAAATTTAAATAGTATCTAAGACATATAAAAGCAGTTTAATTTTCCTGATTCTTCTGGAGGCTGCAGATTATGATATCTGAAATTGGACAAATGCAGCTGGAGCCTAGAAATTAATGCAAATATTCCAGCTTTCAAAACACAACATCTAATCTATTAAAATAGATAGTGCTTTGTTCATTTCCATTTTCAAGACATTGTGAAATGAAGTAGAATTGCACCCTGCATTTTTTAAGCAAAGATGGTTTTTCAGGAATCTCTGAAAACACAACAGACATTGGGCAAAGTGTATTTGCAGTGTTAAGTCTTTCCAAAATAATTATCATCTATACACTAAGGATGGCCATCCTTATGCTGCTTCCTAAAGAGGTCATAAAATTCAGTTTACTGATGAATTTGAAGAAAAGTCCTTTTCTGTTCCACATGAGTAAAGACCTTAGTGCAAAACATATCTGTAATAGTGAAGCTCTTGAGCTCACTTCCCATTGTGCCCTCCAGGATGGGGATTTGTATTTATGCCCCAGCCCCAGGTATTTTTCCAGTTGTTTCAGCATTATCTCTGTTAGTTCTGTGCCAAACTGCACTGGACCAGCTCTCCCTGGACACCTCTGGCTACCACTCAGGTAAGTGACTCACCTGAGCCTGCTGGACACTCCAGCCCCTCTCTCATTACCTGCTAATGGTTAACATTCTTCAGGTTTCATCCAGGACAAAGATTTCATGCTGAAAACAGCAAGACAGAACCATCACCAGTTTGCCCATCTGCCAAGCCCTTCACTACATGTTTGCTTTATCTCTTCATGGCACAATTTTATTTGCATAATTGTGTTACTCAGCAGGCAAGAGCAAACCGTCCTAAAATGTCCCCTGTTTGGAATTCACACATTCTTCTCCTTGCTCCTGTCCAGAAAGGTGGGGTTAGGCACAGAACACCTTTTTCACAGAATCTATTCTTTCCAGACTGTGGCATCTCTTACCACGGGCAAAGAAGAATTGACCTGGAATTGTTGGTCAGTTGAAAATAGATAGGAAGTGCCTGTGATGGTTTGAGGGTGGTTTTATTTGAGTTCTTCAAACGATCTGTGAGAAACTGGACAGATACTATTGTCAGGACACAGCACTTTTTTGTCCTGAGACACCTGAGTTCACTCATTCCCCAGTGTTGTTATCTTCTGCCTTAAATAGTTTTGATTCTTACACTGATGCTACATGGAGTAGTAGCTGGTTGCCTCAGGGCACACATGATTTCAAGTTGTTCTAGTATAAAAGCTGTAATTTTGTGCAACCACTCAAATGGGAGTGAAGGGCAAAGCTGTGCTATTCCTTACTCTTGGCCCAGCATCAAGCAAATCAAATGGATAGTGTAAAGAGCACATCAGGAAGCACAGGGTTTAATATATCAGACCTGCAGGCATCTACGAAGCCTTTTCACATTGTATAACTGAAGTACAGTTGGAAAACCAGAAACAGACAAGAGGTCATTTTTCTATTTTCAGAGATATTGTCTGTCTTTGTAAATAATATTATAGAGACCGAGTGACCTAAATCCTGGTGGTAATGTCAGTGTGATATGCCATCTAAAATGAGGGTGAACAGGGCCCTGTCCTGTGCACAGGGAGTGTGTATTGCACCCTCAAAGGATAGCAGAGCAGCTGCTTCAGGGTGGAGTGCTCCTAAGAGTTTTCTTCTGAGTTACTCTGTGGCTGAATAACCGAGCTTTGCCGTCTTCTGTTCAAACTGACTTGAAGCAAACAAAATTTCCATCCACCAAACCCTGTGTGTTCACCTGCAGTTTGTAAAACGGGAGTCCAAACAGCCATGTCAAACAGCACCTGAAAAGAGGCCAAATAAGAAATGGGATCCCCACTGCAAAAGGAGACCCCCCCGGGGTCCACCGTGCCCACGCCCTGTCTCCAGCCTGGAGAGCCCAGCCCGGAGGCTCTCCTGCCTTGCTCCAGATGGAAAAGCCAAGGAGATTCCAGAGAGGAGGAGGAAGAGACCCAAACCCCCCTATAAGTGCTTCAGCTTCGATGATGTTTGGATGGAAAGGAATCAGAAAAGGAAGCTAGAGAAGGAGACACAGCCAGAGGGAGGGGTTCAATTGCAGCATCTCCCAAAGGACCCCTCAAAAGTAAGAAGCCATTCACCCACCTCCTCGTTCCCTGGCACTGTCTTCCTCTCTGCTCCAGCTGCTTCTCTCTGCTCTCATCATATTCCTGTCCTGACACTTTGTCTGGTACCACTTCTGTCAGCATTTCTGTGGGCCTGGTACTCTGTGGAAACTGCTGAAACACTAACTGGTCCTTTAGTGATGATGTCTGAAGGTGGGGGGTTCCTCAGCTTCTGTAATCGAACAGTTCATGACCTGTGAGATGCTGGAAATAGAATGCAAGAGAATCAGGTTGCTTTGTGAGCTGAGTGATAGGGAGGGCAAGGAGCAAATCAAAGTTTCCTTAAATCAATATAAATTAAACTATTGAAATCTCATTCTGTGCCCTGTGGTGTTGCTGTTTAATAACAGACTTCTAAATTAGACTTCCCTTGTATCTGAGGCCAACTCCACAATTCCTACTGAAGCAAATGCCTGCTGTGAAACACTTGAGAGAACATTGCCATTGGATTTTTAGCTATTAATATTCTCCTCTCCACTGAGGGAGACTTTTAGTTCAGCATTATGATTGCTTGTGAAAAACTTTGTGGCTGTTGTGACTCACACTGATGGCATCTGTTACTTTTGGATCCAGAGCCAGGGTCTGTTCCCTTCAGGGAGAGTCACAAATCTCTATCCAAGAGCCAAAATTAGCCTTAATACATAAAAAAGAACTTCTGGGGAAAAAGGACATGAGATCAAGGGATGCTCTATGAAGCCTCTCACGATAATATTGAGAAAGTTTCTGATCAAGCTTGAAATCAAATAAAAGCTTTCCTCAGGGGTTTCTGTTTTGGTCTGTTATCTGTATTTGTTTCCTTTTCTCTTTGTTGTCCTGGTTGCCTGTTCCTCATTGTTATTACATTAAAATGACAATTTTGGAGAGGAGATGGGGCCTCAGTAGTCCTATCACCACTTCAGAATATGCTTGAGCTTATGTGCACAGATAGTTCTGTGAGTGGTGAAGGGGAAACATTGGCCTGTCCACTATGGCTAGCTCAGAGAAAACCTGTCCACCCGGGAGAGCTCCCATCACACTGACAGACACCTGGGATAGCAAGGCAGACCAATCCCAGAAAGAGGGTTTCTGAAAAACTGCCCTCTTCCCTTTTCTCAAGGAAAGAGACTAAAAATCTGTGCTATTTTTTATGAGTCGAGCTCTTCAACACAAAGTTCTGCTGGTTGCTGCATGGATGGGTGCTGGATATGATTCTCTGATGTGATTCCCACTCCCAGTTCAGTGAGGATGCTTCCCTGGCTCACCTCCCTACTACCTGTCTAATGGAGACAGTAAGTAATGCTCTTGAGGCTTGTGTATGTTAGGAAAAAAAAAAATTAAGAATCAATGACTTGGGTTACTTTTCTCTCTTGGTGGAAGTTGTGAGTGCTTAGTGCTGTACAGGGATGAGGCAGGCTAGTGAAAGTCAGTGCCTGGCTTACACAGGGACTAACAGAAATCAGAACTAGTTCTCACAATTCCTCGACCAGCATGGGTAGTGATGGAAATCTAGCCCGTGCTGCAGGGCATGTGGGCCAGCACTGAGACCATTAACGCTGCTAAGAGGAGTGACCAGTTCCCTCAATAGCTTCCCCTGCAGCCATCAGATTACACAGCTTGAATGCTGTCTGCTTTGCTGATTGACTGCACATTTGGAGGCTGCCAGAAAACAGCTTCTCCTTTAAGCATTTCCACCCTTATTTTCTGGTGCAAACTTACCTCAATTGCAATCAGCTCTGTGATGATTTGCAGCTGCCCCTGTGCCCACTGAGGTCCCTCTGAACATCACCTGCCCGGGGGCTTTTGGGACTGAGTTCAGTTTTCTGCTTCATCCTTCTCTGGGTAGAAGTGTGTAGGTAGGTTCGGGGTTTACTGTTCCTGTCCATTTGTGTCATGTAGGTTATTGACACTTTAATCTTTGTGGGCAGGCCAAGAAAGCAAAATGCTGGTTTATTGAGAGGACTGTGGGGATTCAAAGGCTCTTTTTTATGCCCTGTAACTGAATTTATTGCCCTGTGCTTTTTATTTATAATAGTAATCACACAGTTTATTTATCATATTATTTTATTCTGTCTTTGCAATGCTCTAGTCCTGTAATAGTGCTGATTTATTCATATTCCCAAGTGTCTTGGGAGTGCTGTCACAAGCTGCAGTGTTTGAGGGCAGTTTTAGAAGGATACTGAATCCCTTTCCATAAGAAGGAATAAACTCTCACAAAAGAAGCTCTGTAGGATGTTTATTGTCTGTTATAGTTTTGTGACTGTATGGGGCTTTGGAGAGCTGAAATTACAAGTCTGATGTTTTCTGACATGGCTGCCTTGGGATGTGTGGCTTCTGTTGTGACAAGTCACTCTGTATTAAGTCAAGATCAGGTCTGCCCACAAGGTGATGTAATGCTGCAATATTGGGGAAAGAACTTAATGGGGCAGAGCAGAGAGGAATTCTTGATTATTCAAGGGCTGATTTCTGATGTACCACTATCATTCAGAACAATGTGCAGAGAGGAGCAATAATGGAAATATAAGGCTACTCTGAGGGCTGGTAATTGAGATAGGGAAAAATGGACAAACAATGAAGAAACTACCTATAAACTAAAAAAACTAAAAAATCAAAACCATTTAAAATGCCACTTCCAAACGATTTTATATATATTGTGGATTTTATTTTGCTTAGGTCCAGTAAGCTGCTCTACTTCCTTAAATGGGAACAGCATGTGTAAATTCCCAGTAAACTCAAAGCTTGACCCAGCTGTCCCTTATAATGAGATGCTGCAGTAACAAGCTGAGCAGCTTCTGATCTTGGGCCTTAAAGTCTTAATACAACACCCCCCATGCTGGCCACCCCAAGGGGAAGAGCCAAAACATAGCTGTGGATGAATCTATATTCTTTTGCTTGTCCATAGGCTTTGCCCTTCACATGGTGCTGGGTTTCAGGCTGTAGCCTGGGGTCCTCTTGCTTGTTTTTAATGCAGGAGAAGTTCCCTAACTGCAGCAGAGACAATGCCCCAAACCACTGACATATGGAATGCTGTAATGGCAATGGGCTCCGTTTTGGGAATTATTTTTGTTCTGAGCTGCCTGTCTATTGCCATCCAGTGCTTTCCTGTTTCGACAAAAACTTTAAAACCTGCCTCTTAAGCTTGATGCTTCTTGAGTGCATAGCAATAGGAGGCAGACATGGCTTCTACATGTATTTGTTTGAGCACAGTTTGTGCACTGCCAAATTAGAGAGATTCCTAAAAGGCCCATCAGGGGGCTATACCCAGAGGGGGTATCGTGCAGAAAAAGCTCTTTTATTTTGAAAGAGAAATGAGAAGCAGTGAAAAATAGATCTTCAGCTCATTGCCCTGAATATGACTTCTGAAAATTTGATTTTACCCCATCCAAAATAAGAGAAAATGAAGTTTTGTTGTGTGGTACCACAGTTATGAGCACCATGGACAACTCAGATAGACTTTAAGAGGGAAATGAACACACTTTGAGGAGGGAATTTAATGAGAAAAGTCTCCCCCCAAAGTGCACCTGATAAGGCATGGATATACAGCAGAGACCCAGCCTCTGCCAGGGACTGAACTGCTGTGCCTAAGAGCATAGAAATAACCTCTGGAACCTCTGGCAGAAAATACAGGAGAGATCATCTTCACTTTGATCTGCTCCCTCATTTCTCATCCTCTCTCTTGTAGGTTACTAACACTGCTGAAAATGCTTCTTCTCCTGAGTTAGGGTTGTACAGGCCTGGCTTCCATGCTACAGGAATCAAATGATGCCAAAATTTGCTCTGATTCTTATTAATTCCCGGGAATTAATAAGAATGAAGCCTGTGGTTGTAAAAGCCTTAGGCCAAGGTTCTGCTTTCTAGTCTTAAACAGAACAATAATGCTTTCTATACCCTTGCATGTAAATAGCCTAGACTTTACCCTTGACATTTTCAGAGTTATGGCTCAGTAAACTTGATTTTCATTTCACCAGAAGAGCCTGTGCTCCCACTGGGTCTTTGCTGCAACTTTTCTAGAAAGACAGGCACTGATCAGGTTATTTGAACAGGGTTCATGCTATCCCTCAAGAGATGGTGATTTGTGCCAAAGTATTGGTGGTGTTCTCTTTATTTTAGGAAAGTTGAGTCCAGGAATAAAGAAGCAAACGAGGCATGGAGCAGCAGTACTCTCAGCTGTGTGAGCAGTGTGTACTGATTAGTTTTGGAAGGAGGGTTTGGCTAATGGTCATTACAGGAGAGGTTTCAGCATCAAGGCTGGTCAGCAGACCTTCTGCTGATGGGACATACTGTGGGCTGGTGGGGAGAGGGAAAGGTCCTGGAGAGATTGCTGGAGCTCAGTATGTCGAATTCCTGGCTCAGTGAAGGATGGATATGCTGTAACTGAATGTCAGTGGCAAAAGGAAGGGGCAGTAGTGATAAAGATGAAAAACTGGCTCTGCTCATGGGAACAGTGATTACTGACCACCTGATCTCCCAGTCACTGTTTTCTGTGTGTGGCAGCCACAGGAGAGGAAAGAGAGAAAAGGAAAAAGGGATAAAAGTATACCTGCAGCATGCATTAATTACTACATTCTTTATTAGAGGCAGTGAGCTATGTGTATGTATCTCTATGTTTTCCCCTTTAGACCAGCAAAAGTTATTAATTCAATGAGATCTGGCAGTGGTATAGAGTTTTCAAAGTTTCATTAACTTCTATAAGTTTTATAAAATCAATCAGCCAGGCAGAAAGGAGTGTGAGAATTCTTACTTGTACCTTTAGCTGAAGAGAAGAATGTTGTTATCCACACTCTGGTTGGGGACTGATACTAATAAATATCTGAAGGCAAAAGCTTGATTTTCATGTTAAATACCAGAAGAGGACCTGTTAGTCCCAAAGCCACAGGGACAGTTCTGTAGCTGAGGGGATGACTTGTTGTAGTGATATTCTTCCCCCCCCTGCCCCCCACTAGAAACACTGCCTAGGAAGGAGGGAAACTTTCTGTGAATGGAGGTGTGTGTATTGTATGTGAAGTATGAATCCAGTACCTACTTACCCACTTATGTTCTTATCACCTTGCAGTTTTCCTTGCCTTCTCACTGTTTTCTAACATTTCCAGCCATAACCATCCATGTGTGTCCACTAATGTACTGCTTACTTACCTGGGCAGGTACCAGAGGTGGGAAGAGGTGCTCTGGGATCAATGCAATATTTTGTCCTATGGGCTGTCTAAACTTAATGTTTGTTGCCTTTGTTTTCCCTGTCCTGTTGCAGGCTGGAATAAGTCCATCCATCACATCTCCTGTTGCCTTTGACATCCTGCCACTGAAGCTGCATGCGTTTTCAAAGAGCACTCCAACAGGCCTGGACTGCGTGGGCTGGCAACGGCGAGTCTCTGCTCCTGGTGTGTACCACTGTCCTGCCTGCTGTGGGTGATGA